GACGGTACTAGCTCTTACTGCCAATATAGGAGTATTACATATATGTTTTGAAATAACATGATGACATTTTTCGGATACGAAAATTAACAAAAATGGAAATCGTTTTTTGAACGTTTCCGGATACCAAAAATTTACGAAAATCGCACTGTCGGTTAAAAGTACGTTTCCCTGCTGGCTGGGTATGTATAAATACTTGTGAAAAGAGGAACAATGAGAAGAAATAGGGTGACTCATGCAGAAGTGAAACATTTAAAAATGTATTCTTGATACAGACATATGCATAATAGTATTGCCAATTTTTTCATACATACATACATATCGTTACCTTAATTCACAAAGACCCTAACCAGCAAATTTTTTATTTTGCCGGAGAAGCCAAAAATATTATAATAAAATCACATACGTACAGAGCGTTTTAAAGAGTGGCATAACTCCTTTTTTTCGTACTAACACTTCACAATTTTTAGTGAAGGTGTATTTTAATATATCCTACCAAAATTTCCATTATCGGTGTTAATGCTGGTTCCCATGTAAACAAAATTCTCTACTTTCTCGAAATTACTGCCACTTACGCTGATTGTTTGTTTGATGGCAAGAGATACTTCGTCTTGTCAAACGTGTAGATACATGGCGTATGGGTAACATTATTTCCTACTCATATTTCAGACAAATCAAACGAATCATTGTGGTTGGTTGTTCACGCTTGCCTGGTTATCAGGTTATCTGGTTAAACCAGGCAAGCATGAACAACCACATTGAATTTAGCAATCGATAACTCGAAAATTATTAGTCGCAACGTAGTATTTCCTACTACATTTATTTAGATAATTTTTCCTCTGCAAAACGATATGTTCAATAGATTTAACAATTCCTTATTTTATTCAGTATTATTTACTGAGCAAGATGGGATATTTGTTATCCACTAGGAAATTATTTGAGGGTATACCAAAACATTTTGCCGAATTGACTGGACTATAACAAGTAATCTTACTATACATATGTACAGTGAGTGTCACTCAAAATACTACAGTAATTTTCCATATTTTGAAAATATTTTGTTTTATTATATGTTTATTATTGGCGTTTTTGTTTCTACAAAACATGTTGCCTTTTCATCGCCTTCTTCTTAGTGTTCGTGCGTAGAGGGCAAAGAGAAGGTTGCATTTTTCGGTAGAAAAGAAATCAGCATAACTTTTAATGACAATACAACAAAATTGTAACTTTGTAACAATCATCAAAATTGCATATTTTTTATTCAAAAATTTTTAACGCATGAACAAAATCTATTTTTATATGGAAGAAATGCCCAACACCTCGACAAAAAAAATTGTAGCGACTTCAAAATTGCACTTTTAAAATAAAATTGAATGGCCTATAAAACGGCGTACCCAAAAAAAAGTCAAAAATTCTGAATAAAAAGTGCGAAATTTTGATGAAAATTTTAAGACTTTTTTTAATTGTTACAAAGTTAGAAACTTCGAGTTTTATGAATTTTATTAAGTGTGAACTATGTTTTTATTAAAAATTTAAATAAAACAAAATAAGGTGAAAATGTGGAAAGAAATTTACTGAACGATTTTGACTGACGCTCACTCTATGTAGTTGGAAAATGAAAATTTCAGAGAACTTAAATTATAATTATTGACTTAAAAATAACCACAAATTAACGACAACAAAATTACGCAAGCAAAATATTTGTTTTATAAACCTGTCCAAATCTTATTTGCATGATACCAACACTCACCTTCGTTGGTGCACATTTTCCCCAATACTCGTATCACACGTTCTCCATTTTTCTTCTTCGATGAACTTTCTAAATTTAGTTTTCTTCTCCATAAGGGATGGCTTGACATTGGCACACTTTTTCTTATTACTGTTGTTGGGTTTGATTTTAATGGCATCCACACCTCCACCAGTGCTACCATCATCGTGCGTTGCGTTGGCACTGGTACCGCCAGTGGCATTTGCCGCAAAGCTGCAGTTGAAGAAGTTTTGAAATGCAGGTGCCGGTGGCAAGCATCTCGATGTTGGCGGTGTTGTGGATGTAGTTGACAAGGCTGCTGCCAACAACGAAGGCGGGGATGTGACAGCATTTCCGATTATTTCCGTAACTTCGCAAAATTTCCCCAAATTATGCAATTTATGTTGCATTATGTGCGCACCGGCGGAACAACAACGAGAACCGGATCTCGCAGCCGATGAGTTTTTGTAATTTGGCATATTTTTATTGTTCATGTCATTAGGGTCAATTAATTTGAGAAACTCATAGTCCTGGAAGTGGAAAAAATCATTTAAAATTAATTGTAGAATAAACGTGTATCTTCCTAAATTGGGACTGTAAGAATTTAAATTCGTAATACGTCTGACTACATATGTATAATAGATTACTTGTAAGTAGAATATACAAGTGGATTTTAAAGTTAATATCAGTAAGCATTTATGTATTTATATACATATGTGCGTGTAGGTAAATAAGTTTGGTAAAGTATTAGATCTTGTTTATGTTGATAATGCATCTAAGTCCGTTGTAAATAAGTGTGATCCACTAGTTTTACCACCCTGCTGTGGAGTTATAAGTGATGGTCAAAATTGCAGTACCCAAGCATATGAAACAAATATTCGCTTTGATTTTTTGAAAGCCAACTTTAAAATGCTTAACAAAGAACTGTATAAATTGTCGTGGCCTGCATTTAAAGAAAATATTGAACAAAGCGTTGCACTTTTTAACTTTACTTTACCTAAATTATTTGAAAAGCATGTGCCTAAACGCATGTATGTTCCTAAAGTGCAAACACAGTTATGGTTCACTAAAGAACTGAGAAATTTGAAAAACAAAAAGTCGCGTTATTTTAGATTGCACAAAAAACCGGTTTACACTCATACTATGTAAAATACTCACTTTTGCGTCCTAAGTTTTTTGAATTAAACAAAAAGTGTTATAAAGCTTACTTGTGTAAAATCAAACGGCGTATAATATATAACCCCAAATCATTTTATGACTTCGATTATCAAAATACCGTCTCTAGTGATAATCAAGCAATTTCTAACATGTTCGCTCAGTTTTTTAAATCCAATTATTCCACTAACTCACATGCTAACATTGACTATCCTTTTAAACTATGTCCAATGAACTCAATAAATATCCCAGTAATATCTCCCGATGATGTAGTAGTTTATCTGAAATCCTTAAAGCAGTCCTTCAGTTATGGTCCTGACCAGATCCCTACTTGTATTCTTATAAATTGTTCTGATTATCTCTATGAGCCGTTAACAGCGTTATTTAATTTATCTCTTAAAGAGGGCGTTTTTCCAACTATATGGAAGGAATCGTTCATAACCCCGTTACATAAAAGCGGTAGCAGATCTTCAGTGGAGAACTACCGGGGAATAGCTAAGCTTTCTGCAATTCCTAAATTATTTGAAGCAATTATAACAAATCAGTTAACGCATTCTATCTCTTCTAGCATTTCATATAGTCAACATGGGTTTTGCAAGGGCAAATCAACTTCTACAATTTTACTTGAATTAACATCCTATATCTCAAAAGCATTTAGTGAAAGCAAATCTGTTGATGTTATATATACTGACTTCAGTAAAGCATTTGACAAAGTGTGCCACTCGTTGCTCATCTACAAACTTGATCTTCTTGGTCTTCCACCTAATTTTCTACGTTGGATCTCTTCATACCTCTATGATAGATCACAAAGGGTAATGTTTCAAAATACTATCTCTGACGTCATTGATGTTACTTCAGGAGTCCCTCAAGGTAGCCACCTAGGCCCGGTTCTGTTCTTGCTTTTTATAAATGATATTTCTACAGATATACAATTTTCCAAAATTTGAATGTATGCAGATGATGTAAAGCTTTATAAATCGTACGTTTCAATTAAAGAAAGGTCTTTGCTACAATCAGACTTAGACAGCATGGCTTACTGGTGTCAAGTAAATCTTATGCCTCTAAATCTTAAGAAATGTAAAGTAATGAGCTTCTCGCGAAGAGCTGTTCATCCCGCTTCTTATACAGTAGGTAACCATAACCTGGAACAGGTATACAATTTTGTGGACCTTGGTATCACAATGGATCCTAAGCTTAATTTGAATCTTCATATTAATGTGACAGTCAACCAGGCTAAAGGTGTACTTGCATTTGTGAAACGATGGTCAAAAGAATTTTGTGACCCTTATATATCACTAAAACCCTGTTTACAACATTAGTTAGGCCAATTCTGGAATACGAATCGGTGGTTTGGAATCCAAGGTATCAAATTTACTCAGACAAGATAGAATCAATTCAAAAACAATTCCTACTTTTTGCTTTAAGAAATTTCCGTTGGGATTCTCAATATAACCATCCACCTTATACGAGCCGATTAAAACTTATTTATCTTCCTACACTTTCCAGCCACAGGCAAATGCTTGGTACAATTTTTATAGTTAAATTACTAACAGGCTCAATTTCAAGTCCGCTTCTTCTTGGCGAAGTTAGACTTACTGTTCCCCCCCCCCGGGTATCAATACACTTTTTCCCCCGATTTCTGAAAGCTTGTAAAACTAATTTTGAATTGCACGACCCACTCCGTTGCTTATGCCAGGATTTTAACTCTCATTCTAGCACGTTTGATATATCAGATCCGCTTTTCAGCATTAAGAAAGCGATACTGTCCTCTCTCAATAAATGAATGATTAAAATAAAGACATAAAATCGGCTGATGAATTTAGTTCTGTAGCTGAACAGTTTTAGATCTCGACACTTAACAAACTCCTGCCTATCGTGACTCGGCGCAAAAATTGAAAATACTGGTTCCATACGTCATGCGGACTGCGCCCCTCGTGCGGATGGGCGGGAATGGAGGGCAAAAACCGTCGGGATATTATTATTATTATTAAATGTTATGTCTTACCCCATATGATCTATAGTTGGAATTAAGCACATATACAGAATTTTGATTATTGCTTTGGTAGATTATTTCGTCCATTTCGTTATCTGCAAAATTTAGAAAAAATAACTGTGAGTGTTTGTAAATATGTAAATATATATGATTGAATGTATAAACATGCAAAGTAGTTAGTCTATTTTCATAATAATAAAAAATAAAAAAGGTATAACAGTAGTTTTTAGTTGAAGCATATATTCATACTAATGAACCCCGTGGCGTTAAGACGCCCAAAATTGAATTTCAAAAAACTTAAAAAACATTGGAAATATTAGTCAGAATTATAAGCGATATGCGCCATATCTTATATATAAATAGGCAATCATGTTTCCTTTACACCCCTTTACGGCTAAACTGTACTTCTAAGGTATAAACAATTATATATCGTTAGAAGGGTATTTTCCTGCTGATGTGCAGACAGTTTTTAAAATTTCAAATTAGTTTAACATAAAGATAAAAATCAGTTCAGAGTGACACCAATACCAATGCCATGGTTGGATCGGAAATGCCTCCTAAAGCATGTTCACATTATCATAATTTACAGCTCATTCGCAAATCATGCTGAAATCAAGTAATTTTGCCATGTAAAACTTGTCAATAAATGCGAAATTCGCGAAAATTCAACCAATTTCAAAAATTTGCTTTAAAAATTAAAATATTTTTAATCAGATTTTTTAGAAAATTTTGGGCAAGCATTTTTATAGCCAATTTAATTTCAGTATAATTAGGTGCAAGTTCGAAGCTGTGCACTTTCTTCGATATAAAAACACGACTATTTTAGAACATACATAAGTATTTTATATGGATGAAAATGCGAAACGTCTGCAACCCAAAAAATTCTCAAAAATCAGGGCGCATTCTGAGCTATTTCAAACTTTTTGTACTGAAATTGAATGAGTTACAAAACTTCATACCCAAACATTTTCTGTCAACCTGGCAGGGTGAAAGGGTTCAACAGCTGATTTCTGAAGAAGCGTTACTAGCTGAAGTGTGGCCAGAATGCAGAAAAGTTTGTGAATCAATGGAAAAGAATATTCATCGCAGCTACCAAGAACTTCACGTTGCACACAGTCAAAATTCAGATTTATCAGCTTTGATGAAATTCTCTTTAAACATATTATTTCTCAAGCTATATAACCGATCTATCAGTTGGCAGGATTTTTTGACTACGCCAAATAGAACATAGCCTTTATGTGATAATGTTTTTTCTGCGCTTCGAACTGTTTCTTTCGTTATTATGTGTTTTAGGAACCAGTCTTAAAATAAAACTAATAGATATACAAATAGAAAGCATGTACTATAATTTATATTCTTTAAAATGGGGCCTATGGGATATTTATTTTTAGCAAATACTTCAAATAAATAACAGTCATTTTGTTTTCTTGTCGGGTCTCGTCGGGAAATATTCTTTTGTAGGGATATATTTTGGATCCTCGGCCATAAATCTCTGTTATAACACTGGCCGCCTACCTCTGCTTTCTTCGCTTTTTAAAGTCGAAGTTTAAGATCCTTCAAAAGGGATTCCAAGCAGAAATGTTCAACGGCTAGTTATACAGAGATTCGATGATGGCATAACTAAAAATCTGTTAATCTGATCGAATATTATTTGTTAAAGATCCGGTGGAAAAATTCGATGCACCGCTAGATTCTTCCTCCTGTTTTCTTCATAAGTAAAAATAACTTAAGAATATAAGAAAGCGAATACAAAAAAGTTCGCTCGATACTCAAATGCTTTCGTCGGAGCTAAGTACCGAGATTTATTGAATTATATGTCCTCAAATTTCAGTTCCCCCGGAAGATCATGAAACTGGACAATACCACCCTCTACTCAACTTCGGCGTGAACGTATGGGTCTTTAGCACACTTTACCGCATTATTTTTTATTTTTTTTTTAAGTCATTTAATCAATGTAAACTGCAATTCTACACAATTCGCAATTTTTCGTAAATGAGAGCCAATTAGAAAAAAAAAACGGAGGGCATATCCGGACTCGCTGATCCAATTATGCCATAGAAATATGAATGCCGTTTTTGAATTTTTCTGAAGTATGTTTTTGTGGGATAAATTTAATTAACAGGGAACGGAATTTATGGATTTAGCTTTCCCTGATTCCATATATATGATGTTGCCTTTTTTAAGATATTTGCCTTTTTTGCCCTTTCTACCTTTAAAAAAGTAATTATAAATAGCAAGGAGAGAGGCCCTAATTTCTGATAATTTGAACGTTTTAAACGTTCCATAAAATTGGGCGCCTCTTGTATCAAATCACGTCGAGTACACGTTTAGTACATTCAAAGCTTTTCTTCAAGAAAATCGAATGAAAATGCTGCCAGAAAACTTCAAAGTGCATCTTGTGGCTCAATGTTACTGCAACTATAGAGAATAAAGTTTTGTGAGGTAAATCGAAAGGAGAAAATAATCAAAGATTCAAAATACAAATTTTTCATATAATGAAACTAGAGCATCGTTTTTCTCTTTTTCCTTGTAATATAAACATTTCTAAAATAAATGTATTTCTTGAAAAAACTTCGGTTTTGGTACTCTTTTAGTGCTTTCTGTAGACCTTTTTGCGATTTCTAGTGCCTTTTCCTGTCGCTATTTCATTTTCCCTTTTTAATAGGTTTTTAAGTCCTAAAAATCCGTTCCCTGGTAATTTGCCTTTTTTTCTCATATAAATGCCTAATTATGATTAAGTTCCGTGTTTTCTTTCTTTTCAAATAATTTTCACTATGCAAATACTCCTCTGTGCGTTGGCGAAAAGATTTACGTAATGTCTTATACATTATAATTTATAAATATTCTTATGAAAAAGATATTGTGATTGAAGATTAAAATGAACAAAAAAAACTTTTTAACAAAACTTGTTTCAAAATCGCTCTTTAAGAGGTGACTCAAACAAGGTAGAAGGTAAAGTTAAGTAAGGGATACATGCATAGATTAAAATAAAAGTACAGAAACCTTAACACAAAGGCAAAAAGGAAGGTAAATTTAAATACTTAATATAACTAGTATCGCCCAGTTGTCGAAATTCGACATCTTTTTTAATACACTTTTGAATTTTGCCTGTCACCAATACTAACTCCTTTATGCGAATTACTATTTTGAAGTCCACCAGCCTAATTTATAGCGAATTTACAGGAAAAGTTAAAATAGAATTATGAACGTTAATACCGGACTGATTAATGCTAATTCTACCAAGTCTCCTCAAAATTTATTCAGTAGCTTTTGAAATTAGACCAAAAAAGGAACCTCGATTTTCATTTATCAAAAATATGCACATGTAATATGTTACACATATACCAATTCAGACTGTAAATAAATTTTTCGATTAAAGCAAATTCCATGTCACTAAATTTGAAAAAGTGTAAATTCATGACCTTCTCTAGAAAATCGTTCTATCCAAATTCGTATATGATATCTGACCACAATGTTGAGCAAGTGACCAATTTCATTGACCTAGGTGTAACTATGGATCCGAAACTAGAATTCAAGTCTCACATAAACTCCTGCGTGATTAGGGCTAGAGGATTGTTGGCTTTTCTTAAGCGCTGGGCCAAGGAGTTCAACGATCCTTATGTCACTAAAGTTCTCTTTACCTCTCTAGTTAGACCGATTTTGGAGTATGCATCTATAGTATGGAATCCTAGCTATCAAATTCATAGTGACAGGCTCGAATCAGTGCAGAAACAGTTCCTGTTATTTGCCCTCAAAAATTTATGTTGGGACTCGTCTAAAAATCTCCCACCCTACAAGGATCGCCTGAAGCTTATAGATTTGCCGACGCTTCAGAGTCGTAGAGAGATGCTTGGTGTTCTTTTTTTAATTAAATTAATGAACGGGATGGTCAGTAGTCC